GCAGAACACATATGCAAATATGTAAACTTTAATAGTAAACGCTTCGCTACCGCTGACCTGACCCATACATACGCGCAGATAGTTTGATTTTGTTTGAACATTTGTTTAATTGAATATATTACAATAGTTTACCGATAATTTGTTTTTTCTAAAAAAGTAGTTTACAGATAATAAATTATCGAATTTGTAATATTTAATTATGATTTGTTAATAACACTGTAAAATTAATTTTACAATTTCTATTATATTGACTGTTAGTGTATTTTATTTGTCTTATAAAAATTTGATTACCGTAATTTTGGAATAAAATTTTGAGATCAATTATAAATTAACTGAATGACTGTAATTAACCTCCTGGAACAACAGATATCTTACATATACCTATACAACAGTCCCTAAACTTTTTGTATGTAAGACAGCGAGGTTTGAAGCACAGGGACTCATAGATGGCCCTGATTAGAAAGTATATGCAATACTAACTGACATAAGCAGGTGTGAAAGTAATGTGTAGTGAAATAAATTTTATTTTTTATTTTTATCAAATATTTTATATAATATTGTGTTAAAATGCCTCAAATATATTTTTTATATTTTTTTTATTTTTTTTTAAAATATGACTAGAGCTCGAAATATTCGGGAATAAAAACGTACAAAATCGGGAAAATTCGGGAATTACGTTTTTATTGAATTTTCAAACGATAATTATTCAATTAAGTGATTATAAAAAAGTCTATATACACTTTTGACGAAAAATATTGACATTTATTGGAGTAAACATAATTGACAATAATATAATTATGCCGTTTGTATTTAATGTTTTATATTGTCGATAAAAATAATATTCATATGCATTGGTTTTATCAATTTCATTGTAGTAAACTATAAATTTATCTCAGATTAGGTAAATTTTGCAGCATATTTTGGTATTCATTTAGCAAATTCATTGTAATTTTGATTCCATTATTGAAAATAAAGTGTATTCCGGACCATATTTGACAAAAACTAGGCATTTCGGGAGTTTTCCCAAAAATATGCCAAAATCGGGAATTTTCTCAAAATATGCCAAAATCGGGATCATTCGGGAAAATATAAGTTGTTAGTTTTTACTCTAGTATAACCCCAAGACTAACTGGATGTTATTCCCGAACATTATATTATCTAAATTTATTCGGGAATTCCCGAATTTTTCGAGCTCTAAGTATGACTCTTGTGGCCACATTAGTGGTCAATCGGGCATTATAGAGCATACACCATTTATATTTTTTGTGTTTAACCACTATTTGGCTACAAATAAAGTGGTTGATAGAATAGTTCTGACGCTCAATCGCCCCATGCTCTATGAGACTTGCTGCTTAAATCTATAGCTATACTCCTTTTACCCTGATTACAATTCAGATACTGTCCAAATTGTACCCATTACAAATCAGATCCCGTTACGTTTAGGATACCAGTCACAATACAGATACCCTGATTATGTACGATTGATATACCATGATTACGTAATCCTGTGAGAATAATGCTAATTCTATAGGAATAATGCTGTATCTATTGGTAGTCTATTGTACTCACATTAAATATGTACAGTAGATGATGCTAATCTATTCTAGTCCAAATACCCGTATTGTAACTAACGTAAAGCATCGCTTTGTAGTTCTTATTTCATCAAATAAATGCATTTTTGGCATTTTAAAAAATAAAATAGACATTTCGGGAGCAAAAATAGACCAAAATCAGGAAAATTCCTTAAAATTGTTACAAAATATGCATATTTTTTTAAACTCCAAATATTTTATATTGACTTATAACTTTTGCCTACGAATTTGTTATTGTTGGATACGGATAGATCCCAAATCCTGGCGGTCATATTTAAAAAAATATGAATTTAATGCTCTAGTCATGTGATACTAAGTCAGTGGTAAACAGAAAAACAACGGTCAATATATTTGGTATATTTTAATAAAAAATTTATTTATTAATTAAATTTAAACCCCCTGAATTCATATTTAAATATAAATACAGGAGTTGTATGGTGTAGATAATATAACAATTATATATTAAATAGTAACTTTATTATTAAATAGTAATTAAAAATCTTTGAAAGAAATATTTTTATTCATTATAATCATCGCTTTTACATTCACTACAATAGATAACTAAATGTTTTTGAGGTTTACATACAAGTCTTTCACACCTTAAAGTTGCCCTTTGATTGAGACTTCAAAGACAAATTAGTGTATGCAATATATCAAGATCTTTACTGAACATGTATATGGTGATTTTTAATTAATTTTTATATAACAACAAATATTTAATTACGGCAAATAAAATTCAATTGTATTATAGAAATTATTTATTTAAAATAAGAATTGCACTATTTATAGCTTAGGATGTGACTTAACTTATGTGGGTGAATGATGTGGGTGAATTAAATTGGTCTAAATAGAAAGCTTATAATCAATAATCAATAAAATATACAACTGGATGTAAAAGCATTCAAAAGTAAAGAGCGTTACACACAAAACCGTTAAACAACCAGGGCTTGGGAGGGGTTTGCCATAGGATTTGCATATAGAAGGGGACAGAGTTTGTTTTCAAGTGGTGTTTTCACTGTAGGTGCATAGCATTTACTCTCTCACACTCGCACGACTAATATATACACACATAACACACACATAACTCATAGATATAGATATAAAGGGATTAAAGTTTTGTTTTGATTTATATCCGGTCTATTGTTTTGATGTTTAAATGCAAAATACATTAGGTACAAGTAAACCTCTTTATATGTAACGATTGAGTAAAATGCGTTTATATTAAATGGGCTAAGTGTACTCGTTTAATACATTTAACGTAATCTTGTTTTAATTTATTATGGTTTATGCACTGTCATGTTGTTTTATGTTTTAATGTTATTTTAAAAAATTACCAAGTAAATATTTATTAGTTTTGGGTATATGTCTGGATGGGTACTGACGATGACATAGCCAGTTGAGACGGATGTAACTTTGAATGTAATATGCAAAATATTTTGTCTATGTTTATGTTTTTAATAACTTCAATTAATATTTATATTACAGTACAATTACATAGAACTGTCCAAGACCATGGTAGACAAATCAAACATTTTAAACAATTATTTAGCATATATTAACGATTATTGCTATTATCCTAATTAAGCAATACCAGAACGTCCTTTTTTTATAGGTTTTGTCCTTTTTTCGACCTTTCAGGACAGCGTCCTTTCGAGTAGTCGGAAAGGACTATACTTTGTCCTTTTTTAGTTTTATTAATTTTAATATTAAAGGTATTTTTAAAAATATTGGAAATGTCATTGAAATTATGCCCTGAAGAATGTTATTTGTTAGTATTGTTATACTATGTCTACGGAAAATATTTAGCTTACTTGAAAAGTTAATTGTGTTCTTCGAAAGATACTTAACTTTAACATGCAAAATGGTAAATAGAGACATTTATGATACCTCTATTTACAATATTTTGGAAGGCATTTATTTAGTCTACCCAGTTAAGCCACATGCGCTGGTTAGTTTACATTGTAAGTTAAGTAAAGTTTTGTCCACGGAAGGAAACTTATTCTTAAAGTCAAGGGAAAATTTTAACTTTTAAAGTAAAGTTTAAGTCTAACACCGGCATAACACCGATTAAGTGTGACATAACGCCGGCAAAAACCGTATTGAATTTGAATTGTATTAAATTTAAAGAGTTCATTAAGAATAATAAGATAGTACTACGATCTGTAAAATCCTTACAAATATAAAATAAATAATTTTAACCCATTTATGTCAAATTAATACAAATTATATTGAATAATTTTTTGCGTCCTTTTTTGTCCCTTTCTTGAGAACTATTTTTTGTCAGTTGTCCTTTTTTACGGGCATTTTTGGTGGTCACCCTAAATATCATACTTGGCGCATATAATAATTAGCATCTGTACCATGATAGATGATTTCTAAAACGTATATAAACCAGGCACATTTAGCCAAATTATCAAGTTAATCACAGTTAACTTTTCTTATTATTAAGAATTAAAATACAACAAACAGGTAAATATAATTTTAAATTTAATATTACAATTAAATTCACTAACGTATCAATATTCTTTTATTAGATCCATTAAAAATGTCCATGTTGGTCAAGTATGCGATGATTGCGGTGCTGATTGTGGCCATGATGAACGCGGTGTTAACTGATATTGGTGCAATCAGTTGCGAGAGAGATTGTTGCTATAGGTGTGGCAGTAGATACTCATATGATATAAAGTTGATTTGTGACGATTATTGTTGCAATGGAAATGTCCAAAATCAATGTGACTATACTTCAAGTGAACCGCCATTTACTACCACGGAAGATGATTAAATTAGTTAATCTATAATTTACATTTAATGTCATGTATTTCGTAGAATAGAAATTAAATTATAATTTTGAAAATATATTTGTAAACTTTTGTCAAGTTTAAAATAAAGAAATAGTTTTAAAATAGCGATTGTAATGTTTTTGAATCAATATTTTAGAAATAACTTACAATATATCAATAGTTTACAACATTTTAAGAATATTTTTCAACTTTCTTTTCAATTAACATGCGAATAAATTTATGATATTTAAATGAATAAACTAAATAACTTTTTGTATTATTTTAAATAGTTTATGCAGAATTTGTATCAACAAGTTTATTAAAACTTTTAATTTTAAATTGTACTTTAACCCTCCCTGTGTACCGTTAAAAAGTTACGTAGTTTGTATCGTAGTTGGTTTTTCAACCAATGCTAAGTCAATGGACAAAGTGTGCGCAGTGTACGGCGCTTGTACCGTAACTGATTTTTATTGAGCGCAACCAATGCACTGTTTTGTACTGCTAGTCAGTGAAAAAAGTTAAAATGTTGTTTCACTAATTATCTATTTAATCTTTAATTATACGTGTAAAAAACATTTTAATTGTTTAACTTTACCCAATAATATATTTGTGAGGCATATCTGGATTTTTATATTGACTGAATTAGTCGTTAATTTTAAATTAAATGCTAAAGTTGAAATGGCTGAATAATCAGCCACGATACCCAGGGAGGGTTAAAAATATTTGAAAACAGTTTTGTTATTGTTTTTTATCTGAAATATGTTTCCAAAATAGTCTGAAGATAGAATGCAAGATGTTTGCACAATCATGTACCAAGTAGATATAGATGTATGTATCAATAAACAACACATCCATTAGCCGCGTCTTATCCTCTATGGCCTGAAACACAATGTTTGACACAATCAGGTTTGCGGTGGACTCGAGGGCCCGGAGCTCAGGCCGCCATTCAGCCCACGGTTTGTCTAAGTCTTGGTGTAGGTATCGGATGGTGTCTGTGGTGTTGCGCCGCTGGGCCTCCAATACTAGGGTGGGGTCGCTATCTATGGCTATTATTTCATTGTATTAATAAACATAATGTGTGTTTTCAATTATGTTCCGTAAATATTGAGTCATTACCGTAACTGCTATAATAAAAATTAGAAATTAATGTTTTTATATAAATTATTAAATAAATAAATATAATTTATAGATTAAATAAATATTAAAGATATTTGCAAAACAGTTTCAAAATTATCTAATAAATGTTAAAATATATTATACCCCAGGTCGTCTATCCAATTATTATATCCATTATCTTATCAGGTATAATACAAAACATTAAAAACATAAGTTGTACAGTTTATTTTAAAATAATATATAATATTGGTTAAATGAGATTTATTTTACAAAACATAAATAATTTTTATAATAACGAATAAAAATTAAAATTAAGTTATAATTAGAATTTCGGATTAAATATTATCTGGATTTTGAAATTTTATTTTATTATAAATGTGAAATAAATGTGATTTATTAAATATTATATTTTGTTAATAAGTTGATAAGCCATTTAAATACTTTTTTAAATTAATTCTATATTTATATTTAAGAAATTTTATATATACTTTGTTTAAACTTAAATAATTTAATTATTTTTAGCGTAAAATACAAATTTGTTATGTTTTTTATTCCTATGTATTTTAAATTTTTAAAAATCTCATTTTAAAAATTAACTAAATTTTTGTATAAATGCGGTCATTTAGTCTCACAAATAGTACTAATATTTTAAACACTAATTAGTTGGATGACAATATTAACACATAACAAGTTCCGGTGCTGTCCATCCACTCAACCCTCTCTCCAACTCTTCGGCCAAAGCGATGGTCAGCCTATCGTTAAAAGGTTTGGCAATGATCTGAACGCCGACCGGAAGGCCATCACTGGTCAGACCCAACGGCACGGAAGTGATGGCAACGTCTAGTGTATTGAAAACACACGTATACGAGATGTTCACAACTTTCAGTATTGTTTGGTTGTGTTTCGGGGCTTATATACGATATATTAGGGTAAAAACAATAATTTTAATCATAAAATATTTTATAAATACAATATGTTTTATTTTATATACACTATACCTGTTTCTGGATGTCCCGGATATATTAATACCCCATTATCACCTGCAATAACAAGTAGATTTCAGAATTAATTATAATGATTATTTTAATATAAATAATTATTACCTAATATATTATGTAGGGTCTTGGTCAGTTCTGTCCGCAATCTAGTTAAGTGATTAAAATATTTCTCGTTTGATGAACCAGTAATCAAGTAATCAAAACAGCTCAGTATTGACGGTAAAGTGACCTTGGACAAACCAAACATAGATTTACAAAGCTCAATATAAGGATTAATGTGGCCATTGAGATTAGCTAATTCTCGTTCCAGGGCTGGGGCCTTCGGGTCAGTCATAGCGCACATCCATATATCAAACCCTATCTCCAGTTCTTTTAGGTATAGGGGCTCACAATCGGCACATTTATCACGCAAATAGTCCACACATTTAATCAGTTTTTGTTTGACATCGGGTTGTAGTGGACTTACACCCGGGTTATTGTGGCCCTCCATGTAATAGATCTTGATACTTTTTATATCAACTGCTTTATTAAGATGTAGTTTGTGTGCATTGTCATAAATCATAAGTCTATGGAACCCACAAAAGTGCCCTGCGCCCTTCATTTTGGTCTTGATGTTTGGTCTTGCATTTTGGACCTACATTTTTTGTTTGTAATTTTTTTAATTTTAAAACTTTATATTATTAATGATATTATGTTTTATTGCAGTTTAATAGAAATTTGTTATTGTTTAATTTTCGTGTTTAGCAGCATTTTATAATGTTTACATGATAAAACTTTAAATATAAATTAATTCGATAAATATAAATTGTTTATGTATTGTTAATATTTATATAATTATGAACCGGGACGGTTCTGATTACTATTATAACTTATGTTAACTCTCCATTACTTATAAGTATTAATTACTTTTCTATTCAATGTTTAGTGAAATATTAATTTATAATTATTAGTACTTTTGTACTCATTATTCCCTTACATTTAGTCACATATAATTTTCTAAAAACTTAATGTATTTTCAATGCTTTCTTTTGTTTGAAATATAATTTTTATATTTAGTCTTAGTTTAGGATTTGAAAAGAAAGGATTGATTGCTTTGTACTCTTGGCTTAATTTTTGATTTATTATAAAAAAAATTAATTTGATTTAAATTAATTGTAAACTCATTCCTAAGATTTATTTTATTTCTCATTTAAATAAACATTCATTTTAATTATTAAAACTGTGTTTTAAACCTCTTCGCCAAAAGAGTGTGAGTATTGACTGTGTCTTCGAGTGGCCTACGGACGAGACAGGTTAGTCAGAGAACTCACCTTGCTCTTATATACTGCCCCAGCTCAATTATATAATTAAACTTTATATTAAATTTTAATAGTTGTAAAATTATATTTATAACATACATGTAATAACAAATTTCTATTAAACTGTAATAAAAACATAATATTATTATTAATATAAAGTTTTATAATTTAAAAAATTACAAACAAAAATGCAAGACCAAAATAAAGGGCGAAGGTAACTTTAGTGGTTTCCTACGTTTAACAATTTATTTTATAATAATATATACATTGTATATGAGTTGTATACAGTATTATTTACACGTTGTAGTTAATTGTACAAATAAAGGATATACGAGTTAATTTATTTTTAAACATAAACAATATAATAGGCTGGTTAAATTTCTCGATAAATCAAATGCAGTAACAATCGAAATTATCTTATCTAAATAATTGTACATAAATAATATTTAAGTTAAAATTGTTTTATATACTAAAGTTTTAGCAAAATATATTTTTATATAATATAATATAAGTGGTGGAAATAAGAAAATGCGCTTTTATAGTGTGAACGTAAATTAATTATTTCCCCAGTAAATAATGTGCCCAGTTTATAGATTATATCCTCGTGTGAAAATATAATAATGTAAAATCATTTTACTGTAAACAAAAATTTTGTAGCATTTTCGATTGATGAGCAGCAAATCTCCAAACATCACCAATTTTCAACATTAATTTTGTAGAAATTTAATAATGTTGTATTTTACAAAATTGTTCCCGGAAAAATTAAAACTATATATGATAAAATTTGTTTAAATGAGTATCAATGATTGTGATAGTTAAAAATTCTTAACGACCATGATCATCGCAGTAATACCCACACAAGGCTGGCCACCCGTAGGTATTGGTCAAACTGATATGGGAGACCGATATAAAAAATATCTGCCTAAAATATGTTCATATAGTAAAAATGCGGGAAACAAATAATTTAGGATGATTTACAAATGACCGGGAAAAAGTTCAGGACACAAGAATTGGATTTTGGACAATTTCAGTACCTAAAAAGACCTACCAAAAATGCGTTTAAAAAAATTAACCAATCAAAACATTTTAAATACGGGGGATAAAAATTCTATACCAACACTTCCCTATACCCCGATATACGCCCTTCAGATTCCCACCGACTCCTATCACTTCTGTTGTCTGTTAGAGGAATGGCATTAAAAGTTGCAGAGGTCCTCAAATCGAGGCTGTATTTGTTTATTGCCTAAAAATCAAGTTAATTCTTTGAATAGAAAATTGAAAATTTGGTGATATAATGAGTGATAGCTGATGATTATTATGACAATTACAACTTTGCTTAAAGTTAAGTACTTTATGTATAAAACAATTTTTAGTTTTACGCCAATAAGCGCATTTTCTTTTTTCCATGACTTATATTAAAATAAATATAAATACATGTAGTAATAATAAATGTAGTATTTAACTACTAATTAACTGATAATATCCGTAATGGTGGGATATGGTGGAACATTATTTTTATGCCATTCAGTAATTTATAATCAAGGCATCGTAAATCAACTATAGTAACTATTGTAGCGGTTAATAGGATTAGTCTAAGAGTTGGGATGTACACCGATCATACAATTAGGGTCATTTTGGCAAATTTTTATTTTAACTATAAATAACGATTTGACCTGTCTCTATAAACAACTATATCCAACTATTTGACCATGTTAACAAGTATTTTAGTTAATTTTTGATCAAAAATATGCTTAAAACTCGTCAGCTTATAAAATAAATTACAATCAAATTTTTATGTAAACAAAGAGTCCACATATTTCAACAAAAATATAGTTATAACAAATTAATTATTATGTATCCGATGTTATAATGTGTTAATATATTAAGAATTGATATTGAAAATAGTTTTAATAACATAAAATCAATCTAAAAGCATAATAGAAGATGTTTTGCCTTGTAAATCGTGTATAACTGTTAATATATCCTTGATTTAATAAACAATTTACCTAATTTTAATGAGAAATTAAGGAAAAATAAATAACTATTTAAATAACTATTTAAATAACTATTTGACCTTTTGTTATCAACTATTATAGTGACTATTTGATTAAAATAAAAAACTATTTTGCGATGCTCTGTTTATAATTGATAAAACAAACCTTGAATTTGAGTATCGCATTATTAATTACATAAAATTTTGATAATATGAATGCAAACTATAATATACATTTAAGTATAATCAGGATATAAGTTAATGTCTAGACAATCATTTTATATTATTTTGTTATTTTGTTATTAAAACAATAATTTACAAAACATATGTATATTAATGCAATATTGATAATTAATTGTTATTGTCAGCAAAAAACGCTTTTTAAAGCTTTATTTACAAAAAAAAACATAACTTTAGATACGAGTAATGTTTGATTCATTGAATGACTCAATGCTTTATTAAACACAACTTTAATATTTCTAATAAAATAATTTATTTTTTTTCTGTTAATAAAGCTTTAAAAAGCGTTTTTTTGTTGAGCTTATTAATTGTGTTTTAAAGTGACTTGTTTTGAACAATATTCATATCAATTTCATATTGTGTTTAATATTTTAATTTACTATAGTCACTAATTATAGTATAGTGAAATACTGAAACCCACGCGTATTAATATAATCGTATTTAAACAGTTAACGTAAACGGATTACCACATTCATTATCAATTATACAATAGTAAGTAAAATATTGTTAAGTTATAATTATATCAGTAATTATTAAATACAGTAAGTATTATAATTTTGGTATATTTAATAATACGAATGTTTCATAAATAATAAAAATAGTGTAAAAATAAGATTTAATTATTCATGTTTATAATAAAATATACCATGGTAGGCAAATAATAATGGGCGTAAAACTTTACCACTACACTACACTCAAAAACGGGTTATTAATCTTACATGATGGAAAATTACAGGCCAAGAAGGCAACGCAAGGGACTGGCGTTTATTTTACCGAGTTGCCGCCGTTCTTGCCGACCGAGCTCATCTTGCTCAATAATTATGACGATGGTAAAGCACGTATGGAATTCGAGAAAGCTTATGGCAAAACTGAGATGGTGTTTGTTTTTGACTCGGATGAAATTGGTGCCACACAGAATGAGAAAAGCATGG